GGGATTTCCGGCAATAATCTGAGGTGGCTGACGTCACCTTACGGTGACGCATGCGCAGACGAGTAGCAGCCGAGACCAGGAAGTGATTGCAGTTCTACGTCTTTTGAAATCGTCTGACAAGCCACGCAATATGTGCAGGAAGTAGGTAGTGCAGGATAAGTATACAAATATAAAAACTATTTTTTAGATTTTACTAAATTTACATGTGAACTTTCATTGAGTAATAGTGCCAATTAACACAATTATGAATAAAATGCGTCAGCTCTTATGTTGAAGTATTTTACTGATTGCAATGCCAAGGGAAAAATTGAGATGCGAATGTCTGGTTGAAATTGCCAGGTTCCGACGACAGTGTTCACGCCACTGGAGTATGGCACAGTGGGGATATCGGAGGAAACGGCCATCCGGAAGTACGGGGAGGATAACATTGAGGTTTGTGGTCAGCTTGCGAGGACAGTAACATAAGTGGATCACCTTGAAGGGGGCTACATGGAGATGTAACGTTGTCCTCGGATAGCAGCTGCTGAAGGTGCAACTAGTCCCAAACCCCGAAGTACTGTGACTGAAACCCGAACCCCGAAGTACTGTGACTGAAACGCGAACCCTGAAGTCCTGTGACTGAAACCCGAACCCTCAAGTACTGTGACTGAAACCCGAACCCTGAAGTCCTGTGACTGAAACGCGAACCCTGAAGTCCTATGACTGAAACCCGAACCCTCAAGTACTGTGACTGAAACCCGAACCCTGAAGTCCTGTGACTGAAACGCGAACCCTGAAGTCCTATGACTGAAACCCGAACCCTCAAGTACTGTGACTGAAACCCGAACCCTGAAGTCCTGTGGCTGAAACCCGAACCCTGAAGTCCTATGACTGAAACCCGAACCCTGAAGTACTGTGACTGAAACTCGAACCTTGAACTACTGTGACAAATTCTTATTAAGTTCTATGTCTCAGTGTTTGGTAACCTGTTATGGATTGTTGCTTAAATCAGAGTAAACCATAACTCACTCACTCACTCAGTCCTGCATGCCCCGTTTTTGTCACTATGACAGTGAGATGTAAGTGTCTTGGAAAGAATGGCGACTAGCGCGCTGACAGGCGCCATCAGTTCAATATGGTGAATGTTGTATGTGTCACTGTGAAATAACCAAGAAAATGGGTGAGTTACCGCTACAAATTCTGAGCAGGGATTTTGGCTCGGAATCGAGAAATCACGATTTTTTTAGCTTCCTAAATCTATTGGCTTGAAATGTGTGCATACTTTTAATGGGATAAATACAGTGAGTATTGTTGAATTCGCCTGAAACGAACTTGGTGTGTTGACCTCGTTACAACCCTTTCCTTTAATATTGTACTAAGACCCCGTCAGTGACAGTATATACCTTGATGGCAGTTTTTAGCGTTACAAGATCCTGTGGTCTCATCATCAGTCATACATGAAATGCAACACGTGTTATAAATATTGCCTTGCTGTGTTGCAGATATATCACGCTTTCTACAAGCCTCTTGAGTTCACTCTCCCTGACAGAGATGCATCACAGTGTTACATCAAGGTAGGTGGCAAACATACTGGTGATGGCTGCAAAGTTGCATCCCATCACCTTGATTCGTGGATGCAGATTGTGCATTGTTTATGTTTTTTGTTGACAGAAAAATGTCCATGCTTGTTGGTTCCTTTCGCTCCCTCCCTCCCTCACTCACTCACTCACTCACTCCTTCACTGGCTCCCTTGACCGCCTCCGTGGTGTAGTGGTTAGAGCATCCGCCCTGAGAGCGGAAGGTCGCAGTTTCGATCCCCGACCGCATCATACCCAAAAGACATTAAAATATGATCCTGGTTTCATTCCTAATATTAAAGCCATGTGTGAAGTGTTTTGTCTGTGTAACACTGTTACTGTTATAGGAATAGAGATGTCATGAATCCACGAGTGTTGGTGGTATTTAGAATGTGATCAGTGTTTCCTGTGTTTTTCAGATGATCTGCCAGAGGAAGGGTCGCGTGCTTGGCATTCATCTTGTGGGACCAAATGCAGGAGAGATAATCCAGGGCTTTGCTGTTGCTGTCAGGTAAATGTTGCAGATTGTTGTGTGTCCGCTCCATGTTCCAGCTACAGGTGCTTGTTCATGTTAAAACCCACAGATTCAGTAACAAGGTCATTACAAGGAGACATGAAACTCATTTAAATCCTGGGATCATATTTAGGACGATGGCATTAATTTCAGTTAAATGCAAAAAGAACAAATTTTCTTTCATGTTCATTCTTATAAGCGATGTGAAAAACTTCACTGGTATGTAATATCCCAAGCTTTTGGCCTCACAGCCGTCATCAAGCACACTGTTGCTTATACACTGCCTAATTTATGATGTCACAGACATTGTGACGTCATGGTAGATCTTGAAAAACGACAACTCTTGAAAAAGGAGACTCAAAAGATTAATTTTTCAAAAACAGATTTTCGTCCAACAACATAATCTTGTATTAAAAGCGGAGCGTGATTCTTATCCTTGAACAGCAATAAAGTGCTTAGTAAGAACTGCAGCAATTTGTTGTTTGGCAGTGTGTGAAATAAGGCCCGTCTGACCGCCCGAGACGGGCTATATTTCTGACAGACGGTCTAGATTTACAGCTAGCCAACCCGATGGTCTGGTAAAAATGTAGATGTTCCACACATCTGAGTAAGTTCACTGTATCTTGCTTGGTGTCTGGTCTGGTTAAATCCATTTTGGGCTGGTAAGATGTCTGCCTGGGTTTTGGGCTTATTTCATACACTGTGTTTGGACTCTCTACCTATGCTGTTCAGGGGTAAACCCCAGTACAATCAATCAATCAATGAGTCAAAGTCACAGACATCCAGCCATCCTACTTACATGCCCCATCCCCCCATTCACTGAATCATTCCACCCCCCACCAACTGACTCACCCAGCCACCTACCAACTCTCTCACCAGTCACCCACTCACTCACTCACCGACTCACTCACCCACCAGATCACTCACTCACTCACTTGGTGTTTCAGGTGCGGAGCTACATACAGCAACATGGCTGCCACGATTGGGATTCACCCCGCGTGTGCGGAGGAGATGGTCAAGATTCACATCACAAAGCGGTCAGGTCTTGACCCGACTGTCACCGGCTGCTGAGGTTAGACTGTCCCTGTACCTGGAACCCCCATCACAGAGAGTAGACTCTCTTGCTGCGAAGCGTCCATTGTGTAGGGGTGAAAGTATCCCTTGAATCTGTGCAGAATACATAGGAAGAGCAGTAAGTCAGAAAGAGCATAGCAGTGATTGGTCCCAGCCGTTTCTGTTTTCTTTTACCAATACTGTGGACTGTGTCCATTGTGTTCGTTATCATTCACAACCCAACACACACAACGCAGAGAGGCTGGACAACACATGTCAAACAATGGTGATGTTTAAATGGTGTTTAGTGACCCCATGCTTTGGGTTGGTATGAGCTGCGATGCTGCATCAGAACAAAATGAGTGAATTGTCATTATGTTTTAAATTCCCTGATTACATGTTTCTTGCAAGTATCTGTATTCAGTAATTATGTCTCAAGACTGAAAACTGACTTTGAGACCATGATACACAAACCGTTATCGGCCAAAACACCCGAGACAAACTGTTATTCCAACTGTTTTGCACAGGTTCCATAAGGGACAGGGACAGTGATATGTAAACAGTCCAACTGTAGGTGGGACGCAAGCACTGGAGAGAGCTCTGACATATGAAGGCGTGTTTACAAACTCACAGAAGTCAAACATGTTGGAGGTTTTACAGAGTAGTCTCGTTTGCTTGTGGTCCTCCCTCCCAAGATTGATGCATGAGTGAGTGTTTGTGTGTAGTGACATTGAGAGTCATGGCCATGGTTAACTGTGTGAGACAAGTCCGAGACAAGACACAATATGTGTCTCATAACCAAGAGCTCTGATGACAAGTGAGTGTTTATCATTGTGTTTATCTGGATTGGAACGAGCCCAACTTTTGTACATGGGTACACGACTCCATAATACCTGACCCTGCCGTTGTACACTCTGTATGTTTCAAGAGCTGCATACAAAACGTCCAATTGGGAATTGTTTTGTGAGTGTCCTGGCAGAAAGTATGTTGGTACTTGTATTAAGTGACCAGATTGTGTACTGACTGAAAGTATGTTGGTACTTGTATAAAGTGACCAGATTGTGTACTGAATGACTGACTGACTGAGTTTAGTTTTACGCCGCTTTTACCAATATTCCAGCAATATCACGGCGGGGGACACGAGAAATGGGCTTAACACATTGTGCCCATGTGGGGAATCGAACCCGGGTCTTCGGCGTGACGAGCGAACGCTTTAACCACTAAGCTACCCCACCGCCCCGTGTACAGAATTAAAGTATGTTGGTACTTGTATAAAGTGACCAGATTTTGTACTGAATGAAAGTATGTTGGTACTTGTATAAAGTGACTAGGAAAATGTGAAGGGGGGCTGCTTAATTATACAGACATAAACTTGTGGTCACAGATGTAGCAGTAGAGAGAAATGGCTTTGTTCAAACTCTGATGAAACTAAACCTTTTTGCTGACAGTTGCAACGAAACTATATTCACCTACACTGCTGTACATTTCTGTGCACAGTTTTCTAATGTACACAAGAAGGTGGGGACAGTTTTCTAATGTACACAAGAAGGTGGGGACAGTTTTCTAATGTACACAAGAAGGTGGGGACAGTTTTCTAATGTACACAAGAAGGTGGAGACAGTTTTCTAATGTACACAAGAAGGTGGAGACAGTTTTCTAATGTACACAAGAAGGTGGAGACAGTTTTCTAATGTACACAAGAAGGTGGAGACAGTTTTCTAATGTACACAAGAAGGTGGGGACAATTTTCTAATGTACACAAGAAGGTGGGGACAGTTTTCTAATGTACACAAGAAGGTGGGGACAGTTTTCTAATGTACACAAGAAGGTGGGGACAGTTTTCTAATGTACACAAGAAGGTGGAGACAGTTTTCTAATGTACACAAGAAGATGGGGACAGTTTTCTAATGTACACAAGAAGGTGGGGACAGTTTTCTAATGTACACAAGAAGGTGGGGACAGTTTTCTAATGTACACAAGAAGGTGGAGACAGTTTTCTAATGTACACAAGAAGGTGGAGACAGTTTTCTAATGTACACAAGAAGGTGGGGACAATTTTCTAATGTACACAAGAAGGTGGGGACAGTTTTCTAATGTACACAAGAAGGTGGGGACAGTTTTCTAATGTACACAAGAAGGTGGGGACAGTTTTCTAATGTACACAAGAAGGTGGGGACAGTTTTTTTCTAATGTACACAAGAAGATGGGAACAGTTTTCTAATGTACACAAGAAGGTGGGGACAGTTTTCTAATGTACACAAGAAGGTGGGGACAGTTTTCTAATGTACACAAGAAGGTGGAGACAGTTTTCTAATGTACACAAAAAAATGGGGACAGTTTTCTAATGTACACAAGAAGGTGGGGACAGTTTTCTAATGTACACAAGAAGTTGGGGACAGTTTTCTAATGTACACAAGAAGGTGGAGACAGTTTTCTAATGTACACAAGAAGGTGGGGACAGTTTTCTAATGTACACAAGAAGGTGGAGACAGTTTTCTAATGTACACAAGAAGGTGGAGACAGTTTTCTAATGTACACAAGAAGGTGGGGACAATTTTCTAATGTACACAAGAAGGTGGGGACAGTTTTCTAATGTACACAAGAAGATGGGAACAGTTTTCTAATGTACACAAGAAGGTGGGGACAGTTTTTTAATGTACACAAGAAGGTGGGGACAGTTTTCTAATGTACACAAGAAGGTGGAGACAGTTTTCTAATGTACACAAAAAAAAAAAAATGGGGACAGTTTTCTAATGTACACAAGAAGGTGGGGACAGTTTTCTAATGTACACAAGAAGTTGGGGACAGTTTTCTAATGTACACAAGAAGGTGGGGACAGTTTTCTAATGTACACAAGAAGGTGGGGACAGTTTTCTAATGTACACAAGAAGGTGGAGACAGTTTTCTAATGTACACAAGAAGGTGGAGACAGTTTTCTAATGTACACAAGAAGGTGGGGACAATTTTCTAATGTACACAAGAAGGTGGGGACAGTTTTCTAATGTACACAAGAAGGTGGGGACAGTTTTCTAATGTACACAAGAAGGTGGGGACAGTTTTCTAATGTACACAAGAAGGTGGGGACAGTTTTTCTAATGTACACAAGAAGATGGGAACAGTTTTCTAATGTACACAAGAAGGTGGGGACAGTTTTCTAATGTACACAAGAAGGTGGGGACAGTTTTCTAATGTACACAAGAAGGTGGAGACAGTTTTCTAATGTACACAAAAAAATGGGGACAGTTTTCTAATGTACACAAGAAGGTGGGGACAGTTTTCTAATGTACACAAGAAGGTGGGGACAGTTTTCTAATGTACACAAGAAGGTGGGGACAGTTTTCTAATGTACACAAGAAGGTAGGGACAGTTTTCTAATGTACACAAGAAGGTGGGGACAGTTTTCTAATGTACACAAGAAGGTGGGGACAGTTTTCTATTGTACACAAGAAGGTGGGGACAGTTTTCTAATGTACACAAGAAGGTGGGGACAGTTTTCTAATGTACACAAGAAGGTAGGGACAGTTTTCTAATGTACACAAGAAGGTGGGGACAGTTTTCTAATGTACACAAGAAGGTGGGGACAGTTTTCTAATGTACACAAGAAGTGGAGACAGTTTTCTAATGTACACAAGAAGATGGGGACAGTTTTCTAATGTACACAAGAAGGTGGGGACAGTTTTCTAATGTACACAAGAAGGTGGGGACAGTTTTCTAATGTACACAAGAAGGTGGGGACAGTTTTCTAATGTACACAAGAAGGTGGAGACAGTTTTCTAATGTACACAAGAAGGTGGAGACAGTTTTCTAATGTACACAAGAAGGTGGAGACAGTTTTCTAATGTACACAAGAAGGTGGAGACAGTTTTCTAATGTACACAAGAAGGTGGGGACAATTTTCTAATGTACACAAGAAGGTGGGGACAGTTTTCTAATGTACACAAGAAGGTGGGGACAGTTTTCTAATGTACACAAGAAGGTGGGGACAGTTTTCTAATGTACACAAGAAGGTGGAGACAGTTTTCTAATGTACACAAGAAGATGGGGACAGTTTTCTAATGTACACAAGAAGGTGGGGACAGTTTTCTAATGTACACAAGAAGGTGGGGACAGTTTTCTAATGTACACAAGAAGGTGGAGACAGTTTTCTAATGTACACAAGAAGGTGGAGACAGTTTTCTAATGTACACAAGAAGGTGGGGACAATTTTTCTAATGTACACAAGAAGGTGGGGACAGTTTTCTAATGTACACAAGAAGGTGGGGACAGTTTTCTAATGTACACACAAGAAGGTGGGGACAGTTTTCTAATGTACACAAGAAGGTGGGGACAGTTTTCTAATGTACACAAGAAGATGGGAACAGTTTTCTAATGTACACAAGAAGGTGGGGACAGTTTTCTAATGTACACAAGAAGGTGGGGACAGTTTTCTAATGTACACAAGAAGGTGGAGACAGTTTTCTAATGTACACAAAAAAATGGGGACAGTTTTCTAATGTACACAAGAAGGTGGGGACAGTTTTCTAATGTACACAAGAAGTTGGGGACAGTTTTCTAATGTACACAAGAAGGTGGGGACAGTTTTCTAATGTACACAAGAAGGTGGGGACAGTTTTCTAATGTACACAAGAAGGTGGGGACAATTTTCTAATGTACACAAGAAGGTGGGGACAGTTTTCTAATGTACACAAGAAGATGGGAACAGTTTTCTAATGTACACAAGAAGGTGGGGACAGTTTTCTAATGTACACAAGAAGGTGGGGACAGTTTTCTAATGTACACAAGAAGGTGGAGACAGTTTTCTAATGTACACAAAAAAATGGGGACAGTTTTCTAATGTACACAAGAAGGTGGGGACAGTTTTCTAATGTACACAAGAAGTTGGGGACAGTTTTCTAATGTACACAAGAAGGTGGGGACAGTTTTCTAATGTACACAAGAAGGTGGGGACAGTTTTCTAATGTACACAAGAAGGTGGGGACAGTTTTCTAATGTACACAAGAAGGTGGAGACAGTTTTCTAATGTACACAAGAAGGTGGGGACAATTTTCTAATGTACACAAGAAGGTGGGGACAGTTTTCTAATGTACACAAGAAGGTGGGGACAGTTTTCTAATGTACACAAGAAGGTGGGGACAGTTTTCTAATGTACACAAGAAGGTGGGGACAGTTTTCTAATGTACACAAGAAGATGGGAACAGTTTTCTAATGTACACAAGAAGGTGGGGACAGTTTTCTAATGTACACAAGAAGGTGGGGACAGTTTTCTAATGTACACAAGAAGGTGGAGACAGTTTTCTAATGTACACAAAAAAATGGGGACAGTTTTCTAATGTACACAAGAAGGTGGGGACAGTTTTCTAATGTACACAAGAAGTTGGGGACAGTTTTCTAATGTACACACAAGAAGGTGGGGACAGTTTTCTAATGTACACAAGAAGGTGGGGACAGTTTTCTAATGTACACAAGAAGGTAGGGACAGTTTTCTAATGTACACAAGAAGGTGGGGACAGTTTTCTAATGTACACAAGAAGGTGGGGACAGTTTTCTATTGTACACAAGAAGGTGGGGACAGTTTTCTAATGTACACAAGAAGGTGGGGACAGTTTTCTAATGTACACAAGAAGGTAGGGACAGTTTTCTAATGTACACAAGAAGGTGGGGACAGTTTTCTAATGTACACAAGAAGGTGGAGACAGTTTTCTAATGTACACAAGAAGTGGAGACAGTTTTCTAATGTACACAAGAAGATGGGGACAGTTTTCTAATGTACACAAGAAGGTGGGGACAGTTTTCTAATGTACACAAGAAGGTGGGGACAGTTTTCTAATGTACACAAGAAGGTGGGGACAGTTTTCTAATGTACACAAGAAGGTGGAGACAGTTTTCGAATGTATACAAGAAGGTGTCTTAGTACAACCTGGAATTTATAACGAATGGTTACATTAGTTTCAACAAGGGCAGAAAACAACTACAACAAGGCTATCGAGTTTATGAGGAGCTTGTCCTGACATATTCATTTCACCATACTCACGATGACATAAGTTGGAAACAGATCTGAAATGTCAATATGAATCGGAGTGAAAGGATTTCTTCTGATCTCAATTATGGATTTCATTTGCTTTATACACAGTTGACCCATGGCATCTGTAACAGTCATGTGAGGCACAGGTCAGTAAGGTGTCTACAGTGCTTCAATTCACTCTGCAGAGTTGCTTCCCTTTGGCGGACCAGGATCCTATGATTCTTAGTTTGAATCCAGTTTCTCTGACTGTGTTTCTTGGATTGTGAGCAGGATGTTTGGGTTTCACACCAAGTTAACTATTTGGAATTCTTCCAAAATGGCTTTAAATTAAAAATCACTTTAAAATAACTCACCCTGTCCAGTTGTCTGAACTGCTGTTGGAGTGACAGCTGTCAGTGTGGTGATTCCTCAGTGTTGTACATTGTCCTATTGAATCAAAGATTCACATGAAGTGTGTAGCAGTACTTCAGCGAGTGGGAAATGGTCCAGTCTCTCGCCCAGACACCAGCAAGTATAGTAATTTAGTGAATAGTGAATATGCTCAAGCCAAAATATTTTTTTCAAGCACATATTGACTCAGTCCTTGAAATTAGAACTATTCTGTGCTCCATTTAGATTTTATGCTATCATTTTTGTAGATAATCATTTTTAAATGAGATCTGGACTATCAGTAAATGTTTATCTACAAACGAATGTAGTATTTTCTGTTTTCCTAGGTAAAGTGAGTGAGTGAGGTTTTTTTTACGCTGCTTTTAGAAATATTCGAGCAACATCACGGTGGGGGACACCAGAAATGGGCTTCACACATTGTACCCATGTAGGGAATCGAACCCGGGTCTTCGACGTGACGGGCCAACGCTTTTACCCACTAGGCTACCCCACCAGCCCTCCCAGGTAGAACCCCTGCCTAGTTTCTTTTCGGGTTTTTTCATAATGAAGGATGCATTTGTGACGATGAGTTAGTCACAGTGTTGTCGAGTTTACATTTAGTGTACCCAATCATGCAACTTATGTCTGAATGTAGAAATGTTTAACATGCTATAGGTGGGGTTTGAGGTGATGGGATTTCTTGCATCTGCAAGTGGAATCCCACTGACCACCGAGGATGGCTTCCAAACATTGGCAGATTTAGTGAAGAGTAGTAGGTGTAAAACACCTTGATACCATCTGCCTGAGTGAATAATTGTGTTAATCCCGCTGTAAACAGTATTCAGCTCAACTGTCTTTAGGGATACCTTGGCAATAATGGAACAACAGGGATATCCCTGTTTGAAGTTGAGTAGTATAAACATTGTGACGGACCATTGATATTCTTGTGGGACGTTTTTGTTAAAAAGACAATTTGTACCAGAATATCCAAGGAATAGACAATTGTTTTAACTTCTTTTTTTTCAAAACAGTAGTTTAGACAGTTACTGAAAAAATATCCAAATCAAAATATGAGCATGTCTCCCTCCAGGATATTCCTGGTCTGGTCAATAAGGCGTCTATGAGAGAGGGAGTCCTGTCTTATAGAGAAGGCTGTTATTGTTGATACAGTTCCTGGTCTGGCCAATAAGGTGTCTATGAGAGAGGGAGTCCTGTCATATAGAGAAGGCTGTTATTGTTGATACAGTTCCTGGTCTGGCCAATAAGGTGTCTATGAAAGAGGGAGTCCTGTCTTATAGAGAAGGCTGTTATTGTTGATACATTTCCTGGTCTGGCCAATAAGGCGTCTACGAGAGAGGGAGTCCTGTCTTATAGAGAAGGCTGTTATTGTTGATACAGTTCCTGGTCTGTCCAATAAGGCGTTTATGAGAGAGGGAGTCCTGTCTTATAGAGAAGGCTGTTATTGTTGATACAGTTCCTGGTCTGGCCAATAAGGTGTCTATGAGAGAGGGAGTCCTGTCTTATAGAGAAGGCTGTTATTGTTGATACAGTTCCTGGTCTGGCCAATAAGGTGTCTATGAGAGAGGGAGTCCTGTCTTTATAGAGAAGGCTGTTATTGTTGATACAGTTCCTGGTCTGGCCAATAAGGTGTCTATGAGAGAGGGAGTCCTGTCTTTATAGAGAAGGCTGTTATTGTTGATACATTTCCTGGTCTGGCCAATAAGGTGTCTATGAGAGAGGGAGTCCTGTCTTTATAGAGAAGGCTGTTATTGTTGATACAGTCACAATTATTGCTGTTTGTATATAGTAGTTGTTGTTAGTTTATTCCAGAGAACCACAAGCATGACCTTTTTTGTATATTATGAAGTAAAATGTTATTGTATTCACTAATTGAATAATTTTGTGCTCTGTTACAAATGTACCATCTGAACTGACAAACAATAAACAAAAGGACAAATATTCTCTCACTGTGTTCATTAACTCAGCCTGTCACCACGGACCACAATACACTCACTAGAGCGTGACGCGGTAGAGATGTCTTCTCCAGGACAAGGACCATTCTGTGGAGTTGTTTCAGTCAGGATTAATCAAGTCACAGGGTGGAAAGATGCTGATAGGCCTGCTTTATTTTAGAAACAGTTTTTTTAGTTTCTAGTCAAAACCAAACAAGTTAACAGTGCAATTTGAGTAACTCATTCCAAGCATCAGGACATATGACAAAGCTGTCAGGATTCTCGTTACATTTCTGTCACACTCCTGGGATTTGTAAATTATGTATTCTAGCTGGTAACTGTGGCTCAAAAAGTGGTGTAAGTATTAAGTTATTGAAACAACAACACCTGTTGTATTATGAATGTTTTGTTTCAACAAATTTGTTGACCAACTCCAACTAGGAGACGCAGCAACACGCCCGAAGAGGGTGATGGTTTAAACTCCGTCTGTCCACCCACCCGTCAACTGAGTTGATGGGGACAGATTTTCTCAGATGGGGAAACCAAACTTGGTATGTGTTTCAGGACATGAATGCCTTGAGAGAGTTATAAAACAAATAGGAAAAGAACAGGCGGGGGGTATGACCGTGTCTTCTTGTTTAATTAATATCACAAATCAGTTTCTTCTTTCCAATACATTCAACTGTTCTCTACAGTTCTCTGTTCTAGGAGATATCGCTTTGACAGTAGATTTTGTACAATGCCCTGACAATGCTATGACGTCATGTACTTGATGACGTCACAATGCCATGACATCACTGCACTGCAAGTGTAATGGCAGTACCATGTTCAGAGATGTACATTTTTCATTGAAAATTAATGAAGAGTCATTTTGGATGATAAATAGAATCTCACCCTCGTGTCTTCTGATATCAAATATATCAACACTCGTTGATAAAGTAAAATTATCCTCGGCAAGCCTCGGATATTTGTAACTTTATCAACTCGTGTTGATATAATTGATATCAGAAGACACTTGGGTGAGATTCTCTCTATATATATAAGAAGAAGTTTCAAAAATAATCACTCGACACGGATCTTCTCCAACATGTTTCACTTTTATCTTCAGGGAGAAGTGATTACAGTTAAACGGATTATGTTATGACGTCACTTTGTCATGACGTCACAATGCAACTGTATACACATGTTGTGACGCGGCGTTGCCCTGACGTCACATGGGCGGCTTTTTATTTCCTTCCCTGCTGCGCATACGTCGATGTGAGCGCTTAATTAACCCCCTTGGTGCAGCGGTTTTTTTCAGGCGAACATTTTCATACGCTTTGAAAAGTGAACGTTGTGCGAGAATAGCGCTCGCGTGATCCTGGATCTACGTACGGCTATACAATTACACAGAAATGTAGAATAAATGTATTATAAATATAAGTGCAACTACCTCCTCGGTTTGAGAAATAGACCTTGCCAAATGTTGTCAAAATTTTTGTTATGCGTTAAAAAACAGTACATTTCTCCGCTTTTAATCGCGCACCGATAAAAGCACTGCGCTACGAATTTTTGAATTTGGCATCTTTACAGAAAGTGTCAGCGAAGAAAATACAGCCTGATATCTGAACGCCATAAGTGTATATGAATTGGGTTCATGTGCTTATGCATAACATTATACGTTCAACATTAAAAATGACTCGCAATAAATGTCAAGATAGATTTTCTTCTACGACGTCAACTGACGACAGAGAGGTCATACACGTATAATGATAAGAGGGCATAACTCCGTTATGCGTCACACTAGGTCAATGTAACTCAGATATCCTTGAGAGTATTTGTTGTGGATGCGGACGCTATATTTTCGTTATTGTTTGTTTACGGTGAACCAAACTATTCCAATTCAAAGTTCCTCAATGTGAGCGGAAACGCTTTGGTAGTTTCACAATTTATAAGAAAAGATGACAAGGTACTACATGTGAAAGCACGTCATAACAATTTGGATGGTCAGAATTTAACACTCTTTAGACAAAACAAATGACTGATTTTTCCATTTAAATAGTGTCCTGAATATATCAACAAATAGACGGTTTGACTGTGTATGTGCATATTGGCTAAGAATGGTCTATATAAGTTAGTTCTTAGATTCCCATATTCTCCTGTTTGTGTAGATGTATTTTGACTAATTTTGCATCGTTATTACCAAAATACTAGCCATATCTTCAAATGTAATGAAATTGCTGAAAATAATACAACATTTTAGTTGACGTCATTGCTTGTTTTATGCATTTTGCGGCGTCGGAAAAAGACGACATTGGTATGCTGATTAGTATATATCTCCCCTAATTTCCATTAATTGTATAAAAGGTCTCGGCTTCTACGTCAGACTTTAACACTCTTTAGACCAAACATAAAATGACTGATTTTTCCATTTAAATAGTGTCCTGAATATATCAACAATTAGACGGTTTGACTGTGTATATTATTGTGAGCAACACGAGCACCTGTTTGGCATCAATTTAACGTAAATGAAAAATAGCATTTCACAACACCCGAATATTTTGCTTAGGATAAGAATTTTCTTTGTTTATGATTATGTAGCTATTTCTCTTCATAAGTATGTAATGAAAGATCCTTTATTTAAGGAACTATATATTAGAATATGGATGTAAGATTTGTCCAAATTAAGACATGACATGGTTTATATATTTTAAAACAATTTTCATATAAATATAGTTAGAGTTTGATATCCCCTCATCACAATTTCTTTTAATCGAATATGAATTGATTATATTATCGAAAACAGTGATAGTGAATCATAAAACGTTACCGACAAACGCGCACCTGGCCAATTAATATACATCATTGTTTTGTCTATAAAACGACACAAACATATGCAATGAACAAGACAATTCCTTGAAATATGTATGCATATACATTTCATAACTTAAGTTTCATTAAATATTATAATATTATCAGCTTTACATATAAGGTTGAATTAAAACGCCGTTCATTAACCTGTTCAAATGAAACTGAAATATGTAGTCCAAATGCATTATTTGAATATTGTACATCATAGGAACTAATGTAATTGCAGTTATGGCTACGTTTGATCTTTTAACACTGGTGTAAAGGTTTTGAATATGGTTACTGCCCTAATTGTGTCAATTTCTTACGTAAATATTATTCAAAATCCTGTGTACCCTTGTCAGCAAAGCCGCCATTTTGTAAGAAATCGGTCAGCGGTAGTGATGTCATACGTCAACGTTGTTCTACATATTAGGCAATTTCTTTGAGGTGAAGGTCGGTTGAACAAGAGTAAACACAATCGCCCAATCCTTCCCATTGCACTGTCAGTATTATGATGCATATTTTGCGTATAGTTCAGATTTTTTTTCATGAAACTGACTTCAACATCTACATTTAGCCTTGTTCAATATCATATCATACGTGCATATAGGGTTTACGGTGTTTTATTTTTTGAAAGTTTTTGATTGTTTATATCATATTTACATAAGAAATTGACATATTCAGTGTAATACACCATATTCTAAACCTTTACACAAGTGTTAGAAGATCAAATGTAGCCATAACTGCAACTACTTCAGTTCCTACGATGTACCATATTCAATATATATAGACTAATATTTCAGTTTCATATGAACAGGTTAATGAACGGTGATTTAATTCAACCTGATATGTAAAACTGATAATATTAATGAAAATGATTTATATATGGCATGAAATGTATATGCACACATATTTAAAGGAATTGTCTTGTTCATTGCATAATTTTGTGCCCTTTATAGACAAATGATTGATGCATATTGATCGGCCAGGTGCGCGTTTTTATGAAACGTTTTATGATTCTCTATCATTCGATTATATAATCAATTCATATTCGATTAAATAATATTGTGATGACAAACTCTAACTACATTTATAGGAAAATTGTTGAAACTATATATACCATCTCATGTGTTAATTCGGACAAATCTTACATCCATATTCTAATATATAGTTCCATCTTTTTGCATCTTTCATTGCATACGTTTGAAGAGAAATAGCTACATAATCATAAACAAAGAAAATTCTTATCCCAAACATAATATTCGGGTGTTGTGAAATATTATTTTTATTTACGTGAAAATGATGCTAAACAGGTGCGCGTCAAACCGTCTAATTGTTGATATATTCAGGACACTATTTAAATGGAAAAATCAGTCATTTTATGTTTGGTCTAAAGAGTGTTAAAGTCTGACGTAGAAGCCGAGACCTTTTATACAATTAATGGAAATTAGGGGAGATATATACTAATCAGCATACCAATGTCGTCTTTTGTCCGACGCCGCAAAATGCATAAAACAAGCAATGACGTCAACTAAAATGTTGTATTATTTTCAGCAATTTCATTACATTTGAAGATATGGCTAGTATTTTGGTAATAACGATGCAAAATTAGTCAAAAAAAAACTACACAAACAGGAGAATATGGGAATCTAAGAACTAACTTATATAGACCATTCTTAGCCAATATGCATGACCTCGAGGTCAAATCGAAAGCGAGGCTTAAATAGGTTGACCCAACCTTGAAAATGGCGACCTCGAAAAGGAAAGATTACTGCTGTGTGCCTTTGCGTTGGAGTGATGCCCGTAAGGATTTAACGGTATCTTTTAACCATATTCCCAAGAATAAGATCAGAACACAGCAAAAATAACTTGGTTTCCGCAATGCGGAAACCTGGTGGAAAGTGGACTGAAACTTAAGTTTCCACCTAGAATCCAGTGAGTTTCCGTTTTTTTACATTGAGTTTCCGCAATAACGGAAAATTACAATTACCCACTTTCTAAGGGTTTCCGCAAGGTTTCCGTTACCCACACTCCAACAGGTTTCCGCAAGGTATCCGTTACTCACACTCCGACAAGTTTCCGTTGAGTTTCATTTAACTTTGAATCCATCAGGTTTCCGCAAGGTTTCAGTTATTAATAAGACTCCAACAGGTTTCCGCAGAGTTTCAGTTACCAACT